AGGTCCGTATATAAAAATAGTAAATTACTACCTCTACTATATAGTGCTGTCTACAAATACAAATGTCAATATTTTTTGAATAGTACCCTTATAAGTCATATTACTAAATATAGCATTTTCTATATATAGTACTTCCCTCCTCACAAAATATCCCAGGTTTTATTCAAGATAATCTGAGGGATTTTTGAATAAGACCGGGTATTATAGACAGCATTATATGACATATCCTCAGTCTTAATAGAGATAGATTGTATTGTGTTTTTATTTGTTATTTACGTTTGCAATAATTTATTTTTTAAAACCAGAAATTGATCAGGATACTTGGATTGTGTCTCGGTTCTATACGAATAGTAATATGCAGTACGATGCTACTGAAATAGATATTAACAAAGAGAACTCCCAGTATGATACTGCTGAACTAGATATTAATGAAGAAAACTTCCAGTATGATGCCACTGAACTAGATAATAATAAAAACTTAATTGACAAGCATGACATCAAGCAAACCAAAACATTATGTGTTATATGTAGAAGTAGAAATTTTGCTTGCCCATGTGGTTTTTATATAATTCGTGGTCATGACTGTCAGGACATTGTAGCTGTTCGGTTATTTATTAATAAGTTTAGATTACAAAAATAAGTATTGTTTTTTAGTTTTACTACTTCTTTTTATATATTAATATTTTTAACTCCTTTTACCACAGTAACTTTACTTCTTATGATAAACCCAAGCTATAATAGTAAAAAAAAATTTTTGTTTATATAATGCATAAGAATCAATTATTAATAGCATAGAGTAGGGTTCGGGGCATAGGAACATAGTCATGCTTTAATTTAGAGAACATTTGTAATAGCATATTTTAATTCAACAGAAGCATGCCTAATTTTTTATGTATCTGTGCCTCGAACCTTAATAGAAAGTAATAATGCACATGATACGATATTAAGGTTGTAATGAATATGTGTTATATTGAATTCATGCGCTCTTATTAAAGTGATTTGTTTATTTTAGTACAATATTAGATCAATTTTGCAGTACAAAAGTTCTTATTTCATAGCACAGTCCAA